ATTAAAACAGAGAGGGGGGATATGTGGGAGGCTGCGCACCAGCGAGTCTGCCGAGGTTTCTCAGAGAGCAAACAATTGCCATGACTGGTTCCCTTCAAAAAAACCTGACCTTCAAAACTTTGCTCTGATTGGTCACTAGAATCCCTCAAAGTTGCATATCCGGCACCTCATGATTGGTCCAAAAGCAACCAATCATAACCCACCGTTTACAAGCAATCACGGCCCACCATTTACAACCAATCAGGGCCCATCATTTACAACCCACCAGAGTGTATATAACCACGATGCCTGGCCCACAGTAGCCAGACAACACAGACGACCAGGAAGACGACGACTGAAGAGCCTGAAGAGCTGAAACGCTGAAACGCCGCGCAGTCTCCAGACGACCCTGAAGAGCTGACACTGCATCGTCTCCAGACGACCTGGGAGACCCTGAAGAGCTGTGACACCGCGTCGTCTCTGTGCTGCTCACAGTAGACGACGCGACCCTTAAGAGCTGTGACACTGCGTCATCTCTGTGCTGTACCGTGCTGCCCACAATAAACGGATGACACTGTTGTCTCCGTGTTGTAACACTACGCCACGTGTCCCGGCTCTCACTCCTTCACTCAGGAAACCCGTTCAACTGTCCCCCGGGTCGGGACACCTGGCGCCTGAACAGGGACGGGACAGTTTGGCTTATGTAAATTTACGTGTTTCTAGATCAATGCTACAGAAATACATACATATGGTTAGAGGAAGACGTCTCTCTGTTTCTTTCTGGTCAAAGAAAATAATAATGATAGTAATAGCAATAACAAATGAAATAATTCTTTATGAAAAGTAAATGACAGGAGTCAGAAGACAGAGACATCTTTTGCCACAGGGAGGGAGCCACCATGCCCCAGAATGCAGAGACGTCTTGTGATGACAGGAGCAGAGTGAGAGTGAGGTGGTGTGAGAAGCTGTGACAGGAGCAGAGTGAGAGTGAGGAGATGTGAGGAGCTGACATGCGATGACAGGAGCAGAGTGAGAGTGAGGTGATGCGAGGAGCTGTGACAGGAGCAGACTGAGAGTGAGGTGATGTGAGGAACTGACTTGTGAGGCCAGGAGCAGAGTGAGAGTGAGAGTGAGGAGATGTGAGGAGCTGACTTGCCTTTGCTGGTTTTGAAAATGGAAAAAGGGGAAATGAGCCAAAAAGAGCTGCTGAGAGAGGCAAGAACACAAATGGTCTCCTAGAGCCACTATCCAGGAAGGAATGCGGCCTTGAGCATACTGGTGTTAACCAGAAAGACCTACGTCAGACTATACACTTCTATGTGGGATCCAGCTGCCTTAATCACCCAGCTACAGGCTGGCCCTCCAGTCTCTCTTAGAGGGGTGTGGAAGCAGTTATGCCTGGCCGGGGACTCAGGGAAAGACATGCCTGTCACTTCCCTGTAGGCTACTCTGCTTAACGCTTGGTCCCACTATGGCACTTGAAATAGCAATATTCCTGTCCCTCTAGGATGTGGTCTAAAAATGATCCTAAACAACCAACGGGGGACTGGCAGGTGGCATGGTGGTAAAGGTGCTAGACTCCCACATGGCCAATCATGGTTCAAGTCCTGGACCTGATGGCTTGCTTTCTCACTTTCCCTCTCTTTCTCTGTCTCTCTCTGATCAAACTGGAAAATAATAATAATAATAATTAAAGTTAAATAAAATAATAGTTTTTATATATGTATATAAATAACACACACAACCAATGGGTCAAGGAAGAATTTAAAAACAAACACACACTAAACTTGGGCCAGGAGGTGGCGTGGTGGTTAAAGTGTTGTACTCCCACATGGATGACTTCAGTTTATGTCCCAAATCTGGCAGCTTAAAAATCATGTGAAGCTGGGGACCAGCAGCTGGCGTAATGGCTATGTCACTGGACTCCCACGTAGCTGACTACGGTTCGAGGCCCGGACCTGACGACTTAAACTCACGCCAGGCATGTGTCCATGTATGCCCAAGATCCCGAGAGGAGAATGAAGGAGAAGGGATTGCAGGGCGGCCATTCCCCTGGGGGGCGATTTCTCGCTTTCTGTCTCTGTCTTTCTGGTGAGTGCACGTGCCCTATAGCAAAAACCTCTAAAAAAACCAAACAAACAAACAAACAAAAAACCCACAAAAAAGACCCCAAACAAACCAAAGTGATGGACTCCCATATGGCTGATCACTGTTCAAGTTCCAAACTTGACAGCTTGCTTTCTCTCTCTCTCTCTAACATGAGTACCTATGCCCTATAGCAAATTAAAATTAATTAATTAATTAATTAAAATAAATAATTCTACCATATGATCCAGTAATTTCACTACTGAGTATATATCCAAAGGAAACGAAATCAGCATATTGAAGAGAGATACTCTCATGGTAATTGGACCATTAATGACACTAGAAATCGTGTAGAAATAGAATCAACTTAAGTGTCCACTAACAGCATAAATGGATAAAAAAAAAAAAGTGGTTTTTATTTACAAGGAAATATTTTTTAATTGCCAGAGAGTGTGTGCACTTACCAGAGAAAGATATATAGAGAGAAATAGAGAGGGAGAAAGCACTCCTCAATAAGGCATGATCACGCTGCAACTTTTACAGCTCCATTTTTCTATCCTGTTGGGATTCTGAGCATACACGTACATGAGACTGACATGTTTTCCAAGTCATGAGAGCTAGGATTTGAACCCTGGCAAACAATATGAAATCTACCTGCCTTAACCAAGGCAACAAGGCTGGCCCCACAAGAGAATGTTATTGAGCCTTAAATAAGAAGTAAACCCTGTCCTTTGAGACAACATGGAGGAACCTGGAAGACAAATACTGGATGGTACTACCTTTACATGGAGGATAATAAAGAAAAATGAACAGAAGCATAGTAGAATGGTGCTGGGAAGAAGGCAGGAGAGGAAAAATGGAAGGATACATAGTTTTAGAGAGGATGAATACATTCTGGAGCAATACTGCACAGTTTACTGGCCATAATATAATGTATATAATACCTAAAATTTACTAAGAGAGTAGTTTTAATGTTCTCCTCATAAAAATGATTTATTAAAGAAAAAAATGATTAATTAGATGAGGTATGTGTGAATCAGCTTGATTTAATAATTCTATAACATATATATACACATCAAAACATGTTGCATGCTGTCACTTAAAAAAAAATCTAGGGGTCGGCAGGTGGTATGGTGGTTAGGGGCACTGGACTCCCACATGGCTGACCATGGTTCAAGTCTAGGACCTGGCAGCTTGCCTTCTCACTTTCTCTCTCTCTCTCTATCCCTCTCTGGTCAAATTAAAATTAATTAATTAATTAAAGTTAAACAAAATAATTCTTTAAAAAAATCTCTAAAATATTATTCACATTAAAAGAAAAACTACAATAATCTGAACAAACAAAAATAGACTAAAGGTATCTCATGTTTCCTTCCACCTTAAGCCTATTCTCAGGCCAGGCAGGCAGTGGCTTGATGGTTAAGGAAAATGGACCCTACGCACTGACCACGCAGTTCCAGTCCTGGACCTGTGGCTTGAAAGGCATGCTAGGTATATGTACATGTGTGCCCAAAATTTCCAAAAGAAGGGAGAAATTAAGAAGGGACTGTGGTGTGACCACATGCCATTTCTGCCTTACCAAACCATATTCTAACATGAAAACACTTACATTAAACTCCAGGAGGTATTTTTCCATAATGTAAAATTATTAGAACACCAATGCACACAGGAGGAAGATGTGAATAATTTGCCAAATTGTTCAGAGAATACTCAGTGGACAGGGTTGGTCAATAGGAAGTACATTAAGAGAAAAACCTCCATAGTTCTGTAGCACCACTTGGGCAGGAATTACTGTGATAAGCTTCTATCACGGAGGACATTCAGGGCCAAGGACATCAAACAGTCCTAAGTCACACAACAAAACATTTATTAAATAACAAAGGTAACTCACCTGAACCTCCACTTTAAGATGTGTGACACTTGATTCTCCTCCTCAGGATGCTTTTTCTGAAGGATGGCAGGCCTGAGAGGTAGAGGATAAGAATGAGATACGAGGGCCTTTCTAGAACATAGCTACATTAGAAAATACTCTCTGGGGCCAGCAGATGGCATGGTGGTTAAGGTGCTAGGTTTGAGTCCTACATCTGGCAGTTTGCTTTTTCACTTTTTCTCTCTTTCTGGTGAGTGAAAAACAAACAAATAAAAAAAAATTTTGAGAGAGGTTTTTGCTATAGGGTGTATGCACTCGCCAGAAAGACAAAGACAGAGAGATAGATAGCAAGAAATCACCCCCCCCCCATGGGGGATGGCCATGCAGCAATCCCTTCTCCTCCATTCTCTTCTTTGGGATCTTGAGCATGCACGCACATGCACCCAGTATCCCGTGTAAGCCACCAGGTCCAGGACTCGAACTGCAGTCCACTACATGGGAGTTCAGTGACAGCCATTACGTTAACTGTTGGTCCCACACAAGTAATTCTTTTTTTTTTTTTGAGAGATTTTCACTATAGGGCGTATGCGCTCGCCAGACAGAGAGAGACAGAGAGACAGAAAGCAAGAAATCACCCCCCAGGAGGGATGGTCACGCCGCAATCCCTTCTCCTCCATTCTCCTCTCAGGATCTTGGGCACGCACGCACACGCACCAGGCGTGAGTTTTAAGCGACCAGGTCTGGAACGCGAATCGCGGTCGACTACGTGGGAGTCCAGCGACATAGCCATTACGCTAACTGCTGGTTCCCCCAAACAAATAATTGTTAAAAAGAAAAAAAGAGTGGCTGGCAGATGGTGTGGTGGTTAAGGGCAATGGACTCTCACATGGCCAACCATGGTTTAAATCCTGGACCTGGCGGCTTGCTTTCTCACTTTCTCTCTCTCTCTGTTCCTATCTGGTAAATAAAATCATTCTTAAAAATAAAGAAAGAAAATACCCTCCAAGGTACACCTACCCCCAACCCTATATAAAACTAATGAGACGGAAAAGGACACCAGGGTCTGAGTTTCTGAGAAATTCCTGGAGACTCAGCTCGGATAACGGGTCCTGAAACGCAGGCCCTGCTTCCTGTGTCAGGAACCTCCTCTTTGGGGCCAGCGGGTGGCGTGGCAGTTAAGGAGCTCGCTGATCCCGATTCCAGGCCTGGACCTGGCAGGCTGAATTTCCAGTGGGCACGTGCCGTGCAAACTCAAAATCCCTGGGACTGTGGTATGGTCACCCCTCCTGAGGGGCCATTTCTCGCTTTCTCTCTTTGTGTCTCTGTCTCTCTTCAGCCAGTCACACGCCCTTAAACAAAAACCTTAAAACAATAAAAACACAAAAACCTACTCCTGAGACTCCTGCCGTCACTCAGGAAGCCTGCGTGAAGAGCACTGCTGGCTCTAACGCTGTCGCCTCATGACTCTGCCTTTGCCCCTCCCGGTGGGTCACTCTGTCACAGGGTCATGGGTCTCAGGCAGGCGCCACACGGAAGGTGCAGGTGGAAAAGGCAGCAGTGACACGGGAGACAGGCTGCACTGTCACAGCCCACGCAGCACTGGCTCTGAACTGCAGGCCCGTCACCCCCCACCTGTCACCTACCGAGTGCAGACGTGTCTCACCACTGGCGGGCGACCTCGGTCCCCGCACGGACACTGGCCTCGCCGCCCCGCTCCCTGGCTGGTGCGTCACGCTCACGCCCGCGGTCGCCGGGGCCACACGCACGTACCTGCCGTGTGCGGCCGTCGGGCACCGCGGCGCCCCCGAGGGGCTCCTACACGCGGGGCCGACCCCACACAGGCCCTGTCCCTCCGCGCGGACGCCAGCGCGCATGCCCACGGGGCTGTGTGGGGACAGCGCCCGCAGGTGACGCGCTCACGCGCTGCATCGAGTCCTGCCCCTCGGCCACCGGGTCCCCCTCCGGGCTAACCACCCGCTTGACTGGCAGGACGTGAGAAGGGCAGTCTCCAGGGCAACCAGAGCCCAGCACTGTACACCCAGCGCGCACTGCGCAGACGCACGGCCGGCCGAGGCCTCTGGGAAACGTAGTCCAGCACCTCGTCTCTGCAGCGGGTGTGATCCGGGCGCCAGACGGGGTGTTTGGGGTGCGGTCTCATCTGAGTCGGTCCTAGTCCCCCCAGATGCCCCCTCCTGTGAAGACGGCCGCAGCGCCGGGAGGCAGACCTGTTCTGATCACTCGGCCGTGTGATATCATGGCAGGACGGAGTGGAGAAGGGGACTCGAGGCGGTGCAGCATGGAGTCCAGAGAAGCCGCCTCCTTGGACACGCAGGAAATCTGCGCAGGACAGCGAGTGGTCACTGCGGAATGGTATGGAGGAAATACTTACCCTGTCAGTAGGAAAGTCAGGACACCCAAACAGGAAGATACAATGATCCATTTGTAAAATCCTCCAAGTGCAGATGTATATATTTCACAATATAACACTTATATGATGGGCGTGTATGAGATACATATATAATATGAATATATATATATATATATATATATAGACATATACATAGACACATTTATATAGACACATACATAGACAAACCTCGAGATGTCAATAATAAGAAACAGGAATAGGAAAATAATACAAGCTTGGAAATTACATATCCTTTATGCAGCAAACATTATAGTGTGCTTGAACTGCTATCGTTTGACCTTGCAAGACAGGCCCCCGACTGGCACTCAGGGACCTGATTCCAAAGTGTTGTCATCATCTTTTTTTCTTTTAAAAAGTAATTATTTAACTTTATTTATTTTAATTTGACCAGAGAGAGACAGAACGAGAGCATAACATAAAGTGGGAAAGCAAGCCGCCAGGTCCAGGACTCAAACCATGGTTGGTCATATGGGAGTCCAGTGCCCTTAACCACTATGCCACCTGCTAGCCCCATGTTTCCACCACTTCTTGGAAAGGTTTGTGCAAGCAACATGCTTTAGTATGAATGCTTCCTTTCCTCTGGGCGCCTGGAAATTTGATATGTTCTAGGCACAGGATGCCTGGGTGCCTGAATCTGGATAAAAATCTGGCCGAGTGATCAGAACAGGTCTGCCTCAGGAGCCTCTTATAGACAATGCTTCATAGGTATGGTGATTATTCACTGTCGAAAGAATCTTGCACATCCTGTGATTTCACTGTGAGAGGACAATTGGATGTCTGCTTCTGGTTTCCCTGGATTTTGTCCCATGTCGCTTTTCCTTTGGCTGATTTTGCTTCATTTCCTTTTTACTAGAAGACATCTTGGTCATGTATGTTGCGTCCTTTGAGTCCATGTGAAGAATCATGTCACCAGGACCCAACATGCCTGATGTTGGTTTTCTTCTGCTTGTTATACCTGGCTAGCACAACAGCCACATCGTAGCTTGGCATATGTAAGTGTGTGTGCATTTCTTTCTTTTTAATTTATCAAGAGACAGACACTCAAAAGATAGAACTTTTGTGTTTTCTACTGGTCTTTTCTTGGACTTGTAGACAAAGCTCAGAGTATATTAAGTTTGGACTAATTTACTAACATTCCATTGTTTCTTTCATTTCCCAAACCTAAACTCTCTCTGTCTTTGATGTCTACATTTGCCAGAGCACTGCTTGGTCAAAATGGCTAAAATTCCAAGCCATGCCCTATAGATCCTGAGAGCTGTCTTGACGTTGATTCCTTTTAGGTCTTGATGAGACTGTGAAATTTACTTTTTTTTTTTTTTGGAAGAGGTTTTTGCTATAGGGCACGTACGCTCGCCAGACAGACAGAGAGAGACAGAGAGACAGAAAGCAAGAAATCACCCCGCAGGGGAGATGGCCACACCGCAATCCCTTCTCCTCCATTCTCCTCTCGGGATCTTGGGCATGCATGCACACATGCCCGGTGTGAGTTTTAAGCCACTGGGTCCGAGACGTGAACCACGGTCGACTACATGGGAGTCCAGTGACACAGCCATTACACTAACTGCTGATCCCGAAATTTACTTCTAAATGTGTCTGTCTTTCTACCCTGCTGACTTGCAGGCAAGTGCTAAATCACCTTGCCCTATTGGTCTTCACTTTGCATCACACATTATTGGAAAAAAATATGTAATATATAAAAGGTAGAAAATGGGGATCAGCAGGTGGCATGATGGTTACATAACTGGACTCCCACACAATCACAGTTTGAGTCCCGGACTCAGTGGCTTAAAAATCACGTTGAGCAGGACCAGCAGATGGTGTAATGGTTACATCCCTAGGCTCCCACATAGTTGACTGTGGTTTGAGTCCCAGACCAAGTGGCTCAAAACTCACATGGGGCTTGTGTGTGCTCAAGATCCCAAAGAGAGAGGGAAGCTATGTGTCCCGACCTGCAGGACAGTCGAACAGGTTTCCTGAGGGAAGGAGTGAGAGACGGGACAAACAGCACGGAGATGACACAGTGTTACAACTCTTCAGGATAGTCCGTTTATTATGGGCCAAAGATCGTGGTTATATACATGTTGGTGGGCCATGATTGATTGCCTTATATGATAAATGAAGGATTGTAGATTGACCAATCATAAGGTGCTGAATATGCAAATCTGAGGGATTCTAGGCTCACCAATCAGTGAGCACCATGGGTTTGTAGCCAATCAGAGTGTGGTTTTGAAGGGGAGCAAATTGTGGCTTTTGGCATTGTATGATTGTTTGTTCACTGAGAAATCGAAACCTAAAGGTTTCCTTAAAATGGCGATAGTATAACACTCATAAAATGGCCTCGGCGGACTCGCTGATGTGCAGTTTCCCACGGCTGTGCCCTAAACTCCATCTTCTAGATTCCTGAAATACTCAGACAAGAAGCCAATTTAAAGCTGCGGTGTGTCCTGGTGTGTTCAGGAAAGCTATACTCTAAACTCCATCTTCTAGACTCCTGAAATACTCAGAGAAGTGGAGGAGAAATTTTGTCACAGAATGATCAGAAACCATCACACAGGCACAAGAAATACAAGAAATCAAGAAAATATCTCTCCCCTAAGGGAAAAGAAGAATCCTTCCTCATCCACAGACAATACAGAAGAACTCGTAGAAATGTCTGATAGAGAATTCAGAATATTCATAGTGACAAAACTAAATGAGACGCAAGAGCTGAGAGACAACGAACTCTAGAAGTTGCAGGAGAAAAGAGACGAGTTCCAGGAGGTGACGAAGTTCTTACATGATCGGAAAGAAGAAATATACACCATAAAAAAAAAAAAAAAATCAAATGGAGCTATTAGAGATGAAGGCTACCATTCAGAACATCAAAGCCTCCTTCAAAAATATTGAAAGCAGATTAGTCCATGCAGAAGATCAAATCTTGGATGTTGAAGGAAAAACCTCTGATCTAGAAAAAATCAACCAAAAAACCTGAGAAAATAACCTCCCAAAATGAGAGTACTATACAAGAAATACTAGACACCAATAAGCACCCAAATATCTGAATAATCAGTATCCCAGAAGGTGAAGAAACTAATGAGGGCATTGATAATCTATTCCATAAAATCCTGGAAGAAAACTTTCCGAATCCAGAGAAGCATTCAAATATCCAGACCCAAGAAATACGAAGGACCCTTACTAGAATCAACTCAAGAAGATCTTCTCCAAGGCACATCATAGCCAGACTGGCCAAAATCACAAAGATTAGATACTAAAATTGGCAAGAGAGAAACGTCAGGTTACTTTCAAAGGATATCCCATCAGGCTAATGTCAGACCTCTCATCAGAAACAATGCAAGCAACAAAAGAATGGGAAAATGTCTTCAAAGTGTTAACTGAAAAATAATTTCAACCAAGAATACTATACCTGGCAAGATTATCTTTCATATGGGAAAAAAGACACAAACACTCTCAGACAAACAAAACCTGAACGAATTTACCAACACCAGACCAGCTCTCCAAGAAGTTCTGAAAGGAGTGCTCTACCAGGAAAACTAAAGACATACATAGAGAAATAAGAGAACAAAAAGCAACCAAGAAAATGACCAACCTAATGCTAGGGACAAGAAATATCAATAATAATCTTTAATGTTAACTTCCAGGATTTAAATCAAAAGATTGGACCACAGTAACACTACAAATTCAACAGAAGAGAGTTTGAACATAAGACTGAAATGGTGAAATAGTTTTATGACTTTTGAGCAAAACACTGATTTTTTTTTTTTTTTTACTATACTGTTTTCCCAATTGAAGCACTTTACTTTCTTTTGAGCTGTTGATGGATTTTGCAATTTGTTAAAATATTTTTTTCTTGTTTGTTTCTTTAAATGGAAACATAAACTTTTCTTCCTCTCTGATCCCTCTGGAATTGGAAAATATTTGGGAGTATTCTTATTTTGTGGCAGAAGGGTTATTCACGTAAGTTCATTGTTTGTTTCATTGAATCAGAAATTAGAGATACTCATTATTGGACAGGGCTTTGACTGGAATGTCATATCTGAAGATTAATCAGGAAACTATGGAACTATGGTGGGTCTCAAGAAAGCCAACAGAAACTCCTGGAAAGATGGCCTGTAAATAGCTCTGGCAGAGAGGATTAGAGAAGCTATATAAAAGAATTCATACCATAAAATAACCTGGACTTTCCCAGCCCAGCATTGTAATCAGTAGAGATTGTAAAAGAACAGCCACAACTGGAGGATTATCTTGAGAAAGACGTTGAAGGAAGAAAAAGAGACTGATCTTTGCTAGCAGATGCTATATCACAGAATACTTGGTAGGCAGGGCTGAATTGAGAAGGTTTATGTGCAACTTGTGTGCTGGGCATTTGTTTTTCAACAGTTTGAATGGTTGACATG